TGCACTGGCCTCAGGCTATCCCACACCAGGACGGAGATGAACTGATGCCAAGGGTCACCACCAAGCCTAGGTGTCGCCCTGACTTACGAAAGGGACCTTGAGCAGAGCACTCACCGCAGGCCACTCGGTTAAGTGCTTGAGTGGGAATCGGGCCTTCAGCTGCAGGGTTCACAGCCTTCCTGTGCACCACACTGTCTGCCACAGGAGAGGTCAGGCTGCTAGCTGTGAGACCCGCACTGTGCTTACCGGTGACCTTCGCCATTTCTTCTTTCTTTCCTTTTTTTTTCCTTTGAGATTTATTTATTTATTTATTCGAGAGAGAGACAGAGAGAGCATGCAGGACGGGGGAGGGGTAAATGGAGAAGAGTCTCAAGCATACTCTGTGCCCAACACGGAGCCCAACACGGGTCAGCGCCATGACTCCGAGATCACAGCCTGAGCTGAAACCGAGAGTCCGACGCTTAAACAGTGGTACCACCCAGGTGCCCCTGACCTGTGCCATTCCTGTACCACACAACTTTAAATACAAGTGGCAAGACATTTCTTCAAAGTAATGTGGGAAACAGAGGCAGATGAAAAACTATTAAGTTTCCTTACCCACTGACAAGCCCTTGACACAGGCAGAGTGACATTCCTCTAGGGACTCACCTGCCTCTACCTTAACACTTTGCTAAGGGCAAATGATGACCCCTACCCCCAACCAGAATCCTATAAGTCTCCTTTAACAATTCCTTTGGAAACTTCTCTAAACCCTCCAAGATAGTGTGGACAATCATTCCCAAACATATGGCCCACCAATACACATCTAAAGGGTCTCGTGACAAAGGTTTTATTACTGGGAATGAATCACCTTTTTCCCAACATTAGCTAGCCCCTCAAGGTCCTGGAAACCTTGCTTCCAAAATTCCTTAGAGACTTACGCCATCCCTGACCCCCTCCCAACTTGCAAGCATATAATGGACCACCCCTCACAGCCCCAGGGCAGCAGCTCTTCGGGCCCACAAGGTCCTGTCCCTGTGCTTTGATAAACCACCATTTTGCACCAAAGATGCCTCAAGAATTCTTTCTTGGTGGTCGGCTCCAGACCTCATCCCACCAAACCTCACTTACGTTCTAAGACTTCATCAAAAGGACCCCTGTGAGCCAGCAGCTGAGAGGTCCCTGGATTCTTAGAGCTAGATTAAAGGACCCGGCCTGATATTGTGACAGTGGGAACACCCTGAAAGGTTTCCCATCATGAAAGGACAATAATGTGTGTCCCATCTACCTCTTGGGCTTGTTGCAAGGATGAGAAAAAACACTGTGTATGAACTTATTTTGTAACATTATGTCTTACGATGATCATAACTTTTATTTTTGAGAAAACTCGACCTATTGGTTGCCAACTGATATTTGAAGCAAAGGAAAGAAAGGCAACTAGCATTTGAGTTTTTAAATGTCCAATGTTACCAGTCACCTAAGAACTGTCAATTAAAATAAAACAATTCTATTTTTACCTGTTAAATTCAGTGCCCTGGGCATGCATTATGGTAGGCCACATGCAGGCCTCACTGAAATAAACTCTTAGGAGCAATCTGGAACAAGCACTTCGGGCTTCTGCCTCAGCCACTTAAGGACATAAACAGAGATGCGGAATATCCTTTATGCATAAGATCTTTCTCCTAGAGCAAGGAGGAACTGGAAGTCACTCACATGTACAAAACTGGAGAAAGTGAAAATGGCACTTAGCTCTTGTCTGTCCAGAAGCCCTTTAGTCAGCCTGACTTCTCCTTCTCTTTCAGAAGCCCTGCTTCAAAATTCTCCCAGCCCCTGTGGTTCCTACCACCGGCGCCGAGCTGAACCCACCTGCAGAGAAGGACACGTGGGCCGGCTCGACCAGTGAGGTCAGCCCACCTGGACACAGACGTTAGTCAGGAATGGCTCTCTCGCCGGGGAAGGTGTACCCTCTGCGCCCTAAGATGAAACTGGCTGCAGTTAAGACCAACGCAGTGGGAGGAGAAGCCAGGAGATGATACAGTGCTAAAGGAGTATTTTCAGATCAACGAACTCCTCGTTTTGCTTACACTACTCTGACGAGGGTTCCGGTCACTAACAATCAGCGCTAACACAGACCACTAGCTGGCAGCCAGAGGAGAGGGACCTGATGGGATATTCTGCAGTCAGTGCACGCCATCCTCAGGAGCGGTTTCTGGGAACATAACAAGACTGTGATTGAGTGAAAGAAGTGTGATTCACAATCCATACACAGCACAATAATTGATTTCACAGAAAAAATTTCATGGATGCAAAAATTGGAAGCCAGCACATCAAAATATTAGCAGCCATGCTGAGTGGTGAGATTATGAATTTTCAACCTTAAAAAATTGTCCATACAGATATATATCTTACAATAAATACCAAGGGAAAAAACTAAGAAAAAGATTTATTGATTTATACTTCCTTTGATCCAAAAAAGGACTTAAGCTATCATGGTCTTCTCAAATGAAAATTTTATTGTCTCTGAATGAGTTTGGGATTCTCCTAAAAAATACTGACCTACCAGTTTTGCACAACAGTAGAATGCTGGTTTTTTTTTTTTTTTTCATTACTAAAACTGAAAACATGCTCCATGATAGAAAAGCAGGCTCAGCTCTTCAATTTCTTTGTGACCTTCGGTCTGAATATCACTAAGAAGGGAGCCGTGATATTAACTGCCTCCAGTCAGGTTATTAATTCACTGATTTCATTGAACTGTGCCTCATTTCCTAAAGGATTTTTCTCCAACCCACTCCATGTCTCCAGGGAATCTGAACCTGAACTAAAAGAGTAAAAACACTAATTATTGGCCATGGCCTGGTAAAGAAGAGCAGACTTGACCCGCTAACCACACACCCGAAGCCAACAGAATCCCGCCGAGCACAGCCGTCTGGGCTCGGTAGTCTCAGGCTCCTTAGCCATTACCTTTCTTTTTTTTTTTTAATATTTTATTTAATTATTTGTCAGAGAGAGAGAGGGAGAGACAGCAAGCACAGGCAGACAGAATGGCAGGCAGAGGCAGAGGGAGAAGCAGGCTCCCTGATGAGCAAGGAGCCCGATGTGGGACTCGATCCCAGGATGCTGGGATCATGACCCGAGCCGAAGGCAGCCGCTTAACCAACTGAGCCACCCAGGCGTCCCAGCCATTACCTTTCTATCTTAAATTCTCTTTTCTTGATCAGGGCCTACCTCGTTCTCTGCCAAATCCAGTCTTCGTTTGAGACACTCATCCCCTCTGGTAAAGGCAAGGGCTCCGACCCTCAGTTGCTGCAGGTGGGCACAAGGGGCCCTGAAGGAAACGACATGGAGGAAGTGGGAACTCCATGGAAGCTGAGCAGTAGCAGCAGCAGACCAGGCCCCTGCTTCTCCTCTTGCCCCCACCGGGCTGCTTTTACCCCGGTGTGGCCTCATCAAGGCCATCCTCGCCTAACCTGGCCCACGGTGTCATTCTTGGGGACTTGAGCGGCTCCGAGGGCAAGAACCCAGCATCTCCATAGAGGGGTCTACGGTGCTCTCTGGTGGTCAGCCAGAGCACGACAGACATACTCTCAAGGGCAGAGCCAGCGCCAGCGCCCGCAGTGACACAGTGGTTGGCTCTCCGGGTGATAACTGGATCTTACCCGAACACAGAGGCTTTCATACAGCACCAAGTGGTGAAGGGAGAAGTCACCGTCAGTGAGTAAAGGGAGAAAAGCAGATACACACCCTCAGTCTGATTCTATCCCAAGTCCCCTCGGCACCCAAAGCCCCGCAGGAAGGCAGCCAACAGCTTTGCTAAAACAAAAATGCAAAAGGGTTTCAACAGCAGACAGTGAAAGCGTAATAAATACGAACATCCATGTTGAAGAAAACAGACCCAACACACTTCACGAAAATAATGCTTTTAATTATTTTGAGTGAAAAGCCCATTTTAGCAAGTTCAATATAAATCATTTTTCTTAAGCAGAAGCTGTTCACTAGATTTTAGGTAAGTTCATTTTGTAGTTTTAAAACATAACAACGCGTATTCCTCTTCCTTTCTTAGCCACGTAAGGATCCGGCAGCTTGGTTCCTGACATGCCTCTTGATGAAGGGTCTTCCCTCATCTTCTGAAACCATGTGTGCAGATAATAAAACCAGTTTCTTCTTTTCTGAAGAAATGTGATTTTTTTTCTTCAACGTTATCTCCTCCCTCATGACCTGACAGGTAGTAATAGCACAGAAGCCATTTAAAGATTTTGAGGGGCTGCGGCCCCCTGCTGAGAGCGGCATTCTTTAAAAAGCCACAAAGTGCAGCTGGGGGCAGTGGGTTTGGAGACTGGCTTAAGCTGGTCTATGTCTGGTAAACTCTACTTAAACAGAACACCAGAAAATGACACACAAAATTCCCTGCATCCTTTCTTCTTTTGCAAGCCCATTTGGGGAATAAAAATAAAGTGTACATATATGTGGGTGTGTATTTTGAGTGGAGAACACAGATTATACAGTGTCCACTTTAATGGGGAAATCAAATTCAGGAAAGGTTTATGAACTTCTTCTGTTCCAGGCAATTATCACTTTAATTTGAAAAGTGAAAAAAAAAAAAAAAAAAAACTTTGTAAGAAATAGTTTTGCCCTATGTTGGATCAACAACTCCCCAAGACTGTCAGGCACAAATGGACCACAAGGAGGAGGGTTTGGCATGATTACGCACATGCACAGTCACACAGGTCAGCCCCACCGCCGGGGTCAGGCAGCTTGGGCACAGCCATGGTGGACTGAGGCCCACTCCCCAGCACTGTGGCTTCCAGGAAGTAAGAACAGGTGTTCCAACGCCTTCAAACGCCAGTGGGCCATCTAAATCCAGCACTGGCTTCTCTTCAAGGAGCACTGCTGGAAAACTATTTGGAATGGATGGAATAAAACTTCCTTGATCATAATGAAAGATATCCCTTTAAGAAAATGGCTTCAAAATTTGCAAAAAAAAAAAAAAATATATATATATATATATATATATATATATATTCTAGCAACCACATCTTCCAAGAAATCCAGGAATAGTGCAACTCTATTTTGTAAACAAGCAAGCAAGCAAAGCCAACAAACCCATCTGGGAAATGTTCTACAGAGAAACATTAAGGCCTTCAGGTGTGCATAAGCCATCCACAGCCACCTCCGGGGTGTTGTTCAAGACGCCGTGTTCTGCTTCACCTGGAGAGGGGAAGAGAGAGGAAGAAGACTTACTTCGTTAAACTGGGTTGACAGATCTTACCAGGTCATCCTTCTAGGGAATGGTTCAAGCAACTCCTGATCCAGAAGCTTAAGATTTTGAGTGAATTTCAGCCACCCAGAATATGGAAGAATTGCCTGGGTTCTGGTATCTATAGGTATCTATAGGTGTGGGGTCTGGCCTCGGAGACTGGATGTCAGCTAGCACCCCTCCCCGGTGAGTGCAACCACAACGCCCTCTGCTACAGCCTCTGGGATGCGGCATCCAACTGTCTGAAATGGACCGTAGTCAGCTGAACTCTGAAAGGTCAGCCTCATGGCTGCCTCTCCCTAGGATTCTGTCCTGCCTCAGACAGGGTGACACCCTGGTCTAGACTTTGGTTCTCCTCTCAAGATGGGGAAATGCTCCCTCTTATCTCTGAGCTGCACAAAAGGCTCCCTAGTCTGCATAAAAAAATGGGAACCTCAAATTTATCTATGCCACCCACTCACTCAACATGGAGACTTACAGGGAAGCACAGTTTTATTTTCTTATTAAAGCCAGCATTCCCCTTGGGCATGTTATTTATACACAAATAATGTCTTTCAGAGATCGCCACGTCATGTCAAAGCAAACATTAACCTTGTGTCATGGGTCTGTCATCTTACTGGCCATCCTCCTGGATAATTCACTGCCAGGTCATCATGTTTTAAGGGCTGCCTCTCTATTCCTATGAAGTAAGGTGGCTTTGTCAGGCCAGGAGAGAATCGCTAGCCTGTGCCTCGCCTCCTGCATGCTCGGAAGCAAAATAAACGCGGTGACTGCTGGTTCCTCATTCAACCAGAGAAGCTGAGAATCTTTGTCTCAAATTATCAGCCTGAGAAGGAGCCACCTGCTCTGAGCCACGTACTGTCCTAGACCCTGTTTGGGAATGAATTAATGAATGAATAAAAGAAATAAAGAAAGAAATCTGAGCTTTGCTGATGAAGAAATTGACAAGGGCAATGGGAAGTCCACAGTTCAGTGTGGAGTAAAGAAATGCTGGAATATAAGCCCCCAAGTGAGCTACAATCTACGGAGTAGCCGCTGGGCCTGGAGGAGGGCAGCTAGGCCACCCACCTTGTCACCGGGAAAAAACTGCATTCTGTATTCCCTCATTTGAACCCTGATCTAATTTCAAAGGATCTAATCACACCCTTCTTTCCTGTCCTTTTCCCATCTTCAGGCTATTTTCTTCTTCGTTCTCTCCCGGAACCCCTCAGGGGTTGACCTCCTCCAGCCCCAAGTGTCCACCTCCTGGTGGGTACCCCACACGGCACCCGCAGCACTCACAGCACTGAGGCTGATGGGAAAGGGGCCACGTGCGCACTCAGATGTGCACCATTCACAGTCCAGGAGCACCCAAGTCTGATTCTCATGGGAAAAGGCCAGCACAGGTCAGCCAGGGCCCCAAAGCATCACCTCAAAACAAGGTTTCAACCTGGCGTTCAAGCCTATAGACAGAGCTCAGGGGTTGTGAACTTGGATGGAAAACAGATGTTTTCATTTTCATTAAGCTTTAACTGAAATTTATCATTTTCTTCCGTGATGAATGTGGACAGCAAAGCCCAGCGAACACGTATCTGTGACGGTCAGCCACAGAAATAAAGAAAGCAGATACTCTCACCTCACATTAGGGTTGTGGCAAATGCCATAAAATACTCAGTCCTCACTACTCAGAAAGTACAGTAATGTTACAGGCTCCCTATTAAATCTTATTTAATGTGTTCATTAAAAAGTCAACATATTACAACACCACACATTTAAAAAATATTTTTACAAATGTATTTCAGTAGAGTCGGCTTTCGTTGTACTGCCTATGTATTTTATACACCTAAATATATTATTCTGAGGGGGTGTAATAGGTTTTACCAGGTTGTTAAAAGGGTCAGTTTGTGGTATACGAAACAATGAAACCCCCCTCCCCCCGCTTTAAAAGACTGAGGACTGCTAATCAAAGTTGCAGTATTCGAAAGAAGAAAGATGTGTAAATACTTACTGAAATGTGACATTATAATATTCTTCAGGTGTCACTATTTTGGGTCCACCAAAGTAGTCCAGGACCCAGATGTTGGTTATATTCAACTTGGCAAAGAACCAATTATGGCTGGACGGCCAGGTTTTCATCTCAGGGTGTCGGACAAACAGGGAATGCTTAGCAAAGCCCATTTCCGTCTGGTTCACCTAAAGGGTTATACATGACATGAATGACTCATGGCAACCACACTCTATGTTCTGGCCTGCTAAGGGGGCGTGATTCTAGAATCCTGAAGAGTTTCTTTAGTTACAAGCTCAAGGAATCAAGAGAAAACTGCAGGAAGCATGCAGAAAAACGGAAAACATCCAGGAGCTCAGATGTCGGGGGTACAGATCTCCTGAGGTGGGGAATCATCATGAGGTCCACCTTCCACTGCTTGGCAGTCCCTCCAGGCTACCAGAGTAACGGGCACAGGGCATAGGATGAAATGTTGGGGTGCTCACGTCGTGTCACGTCGGCCCACGGACCCCGTAACAAGCCCGTGTTCAACGCGGAGGCAAACCCACAGACGAAGGTCTCGGGAGGCGCAGTGGAACTCGAGAGCCGCAGTGGAACTCGAGAGCATCGAGAGCATCGGCTGACCCTCCCTGCCCTGCCCCATTCCCACCTCTCTCCTACTCGTGAAACGCAGCTGCACAGCGGCACCCACACAGAACCTCCAGACCGCTGATCAGACTTGTCTCGGGTCATCGTGATCGGCAAGGTCAAGAAGCACATCTGCCGGCAGGGCGGTGGGGTTGGTGCTTCGACACCTGGCCCTCTGCCTCGCAGCGTTCACTGCGCTAAGTTCACATCTGGTATTTCAGCATACAGGGTCCGCTCCCAGCCCTAAGCCACTGTTAGCATACGGAGACAAGGAGCCCCACACGGGAAATACCGGGCAGTGTACAACATGGCCCGCAGCAGAGGGCTCTGGCTGAACAGGTGTTCCTTACAGAGGAGCTGAGAAGCTGTTACATCTGTTCAGCTTCAAAAACTCGTTCGTTTTCTGCATAAATATCTTATTGAACATCTATACGAAATCAACCAATTTAAGCCTTTAGTTTTCATCAACGCACACATTAGAACATATTCTCACTCTGTATCTCAATCACAAATCATTTTCATTTTGTTTTTAAATTCTTTCTTGGGGCGCCTGGGTGGCTCAGTGGGTTAAGGATCTGCCTTCGGCTCAGGCCACAATCTCAGGGTTCTGGGATGGAGCCCCACATCAGGCTCCTTGCTCAGTGGGGAGCCTACTTCTCCTTCTCCCTCTGCCACTCACCCTGCTTGTGCTCTCTTGCTCTCTCAAATACAATCTTAAATTTTAAAAAAAAGGTATCTCTTTTATTGTTAATAGATGTACTCATCTAAAACCCATCTCTGTTTTTGTTAACTACTCACCTTGGTAACGGTTCCTGACAGTATTATGTGAGCACAGAGGGGACTTTGGGGATCAAATCCCTGCTTCCTGCAGAAGTTTGTCTGTGCCAAAGACATGGTCAGCGTAGCATGTGGATTTTCCTGTATAGAGAAAATAAAGATCCTGGCACGTGAGGCTTTGTCTCTGGAGTCAACCTCACAAGTCACATGCACATTGTCCCTAGAGCTGAGTGTTCTTCAAGGAAACAATGAACTGTAAAACATCACCTACCATTTGAGAAAATGACTAGTTGGGTAGAGATTGATCTTGACTCTTCTTCCCAAAAAGCAGGGGCTAGGGTCCTATATTAAAAATTAACCAAGCCACTCTCTTTTCTTAAACTGTTAATGTTTCACATTCACCAGGGAAATTACGATTATGGTATCACCTAAATACAAGGCTGGTCTAGACCTTCGTCAAAAGATCTAAAGGGTTAGACTCTAGTATGAAACTAGGGCATAAAAATACATAGTTGTTCAACTAACTAATTGTACAATTTAACCAGGAAAGTTGCTGAATCATGTTTTGTGGTTATCTTAGGCTAGCAGAAATTGTGTGATTTCAAAATTGGAGAAGTTGTTCATTCCTGTTTTAGCAATAAGAGAAGAATGCTTAGACTCAAAAAGTGAGGCAAGCAAAATTCTTCCTTCTTTTTCAGAAATCAGCTTTAGGAAAGGCACTGTTGACAGATCACAGCAAAATTCAAATGTTGCATTTAGTACTTTAAACTCCAAGCAGCTTGTGTGGAAAATTCTGCCATCTCATGGTGACCTATCAAAACAACGAGTTTCAAGAGAGCTCCTTGAAATCATTTAGCCAAACAGCCAAACTGTCTGTGCACTATTAGGCAAGAAGCCTTAGGAGACCAAAAAAAGGTCTCTCCTTTCTCTGTGACTTTATAATCGACTGAAAAGTCAGACATAAACAAAACTTAAATAATGCAAAATGACACAGAAGAGATCAGAAGACAATACATAACTGACTATCAAGTGAATGGTACAGTTAGGTGTATTTGGAGTTTAAGATGTCAACACAGCCTGGAGTAATATGGACTCTACAGGGAGCCTTATAAGATACTCAAAATCAGGACAGAAGTGGGATGATATATTAACGGTAATGGGAATTTCAAAAACAGAACTGGGGAAATATGGCACATGATTGTCAGTAATGAGAAACCCAATCTGCTTGAAAAAGAGGTTTGGGGGGGTGGGAAGATGTAGGAGAGGTGGCAGGGGGTGGGGGAGTGAGGGGGGCTCAAGTCCAAGCTAAGGAGCCAGGACTGTGCTCTGCAGGCTGGCATCTGTCTGTGCTTTCCAAGAACCACCTGCATGGGGAACTTGTTAAAATGGTGATTTCTGGGCTCCATTCCCAGGCCTGGTATTTGTACTTCGAGCAAACATCCCAAGTGAATCTTTCGCAGCTCTAGACAGCCAGATGTTGTTAAAGGTCTCTGGGCAGAGGGAAATGCTATGTGGTATTCTGTGCCTATAAATCTGGTAGGTAGAGTGACAGGGAGAAGACAGAGGTCAGGAGGAGGAGGAAAACAAGGTATAAATCAACCTGACTGGTGAAATGACAGGATCAAGTCAGACTAATTCCAATGTGGCCACACCCTTTCACTGACATCTTGGAAACCTGAAATCCCGATGAGGTTCCTTACACCATCTCTCTAGACATGTCCAAAACCTGGGCTGGAATTCTACCTGGCAGCCATTAGCGGCTGGGCACAGGTAACTCCCTGCACATGGGTCTTAGTTGTCCTCCTTCCTACAAACAGGTGACCCTATCAGTGAGAGTTTAAATATAATCGTGGACAGCAGTGGTTCTCAATCCCCCTCCCTCATTAGAAGGATCAGGGAGGAATTGGGGAGTTGTTTTTTTTTTTTAATAAAACATGTTTTTAATACAATACCCGGGCACTTATTTTTTAAAGTCTTCCCGGGTGACTGTGTTTCCAGCCAAGGCTGAGCATCGCTGGCGTGGAATGAGCCTGCTTTGGGCAAATGCCTGAGTGGGGTGGGCTGGGAATAGGGACGGGATGGATGGAGGCGTGTGTCTTTTACAAAGAGCAGAGGTTTCTGATTTTGCTTCAGGTCCCCAGCGGCACAGATCTTCCAAGAAACTAATTTGGAGTCTCCATTTTCGAATGTTGGTAACGACAACAGACCCTCCCCCACCCCTTACGCACAAGTACAGTCCGACGCCCCTGTGGATGTCGGAAACCCCGCACAGACTGTTTTCCCGCGCACGCACACCCGTGATAAAGTCCAGTTATAACCGCAGTAAGAGGCCACGACAGCTACTAAGGAAACGGGACGCGGAACGAAGCGCTGTCACAGGGGAGAATGTGCTCAGTCCCTCCCAGAGCAGCTTGTGTGCAGGACCGCCTGGGCTGGTGACAAACGCGTCCAGGGACAGGGAAGTGGGGCTGGGACGGCCCGGCACGAGGCCGGCCTGACGGACACCATCTCCGGAGGAGAAGCAGGTGCTTCTAACGCGCACTTGACTCCAGGCAGATGGAACCAGGGCGTGAACCCGCGGCCAAGGGGTGCGGGGGAGCCGCTGCGATTCCAAAGAAAAACGCAACGAGCTGCGTGTGCGCCAAAGAAAGCCGGTCTGGGGGCACGTTCCGGTCACGGCCGCCCTTCCGCGACCCGAATCGGGAAGGCGGGCGGACCCCGCGCGGCGCGGCGAGTCACTCGGCCTGAGCCGCGGGTTCTTCACCCGCAGCCTGTCCCGGACTCCGCACAGCTCTCGCCCTCGAGCGGCAGAGCGGGGCGGCGAGGCCCCCGGACTGCGGCGAGCCCGGCCCTGGCGCGCGCCGGGCGGAAACGAGCCCACGGACCTAGCCCCAGCCCCGCTCCTTCCCAGGAAGGCCGTGGCACGGGGCCCCAGAGGCTACGCCCGGCACCCGCGGAGAGCCCAACTCCGCGCTCAGAAGGGCCCCGTGAGCCTCCGAGCGGCGCCCGCGGAGCCCCCGGACGATTCGCGGCGCCGGGTCCCGCCGGCGGGAGCGGGCGAAGAGCCCACCGCAGCGGCGGGCGCCGGACCCCAGCGGCCCCGCCGCGCCCCGCGCCCCGCGCCCCGCCCGCTCACCCGCAGGTTGCCGGCCGACAGCTGCAGCGGGCTCAGGTAGAAGTAGGGCGCGCCGCGGCCCGCGCCCGGGGGCCCGTCGCTGAGCGACAGCACGTCGGCGAAGGCCCGGCCGCGCACCGCGGGCTCCGCCGACACCGTGGCCAGCGCGCCCCAGTCGCACACGTGCGTCACGAAGCGGGCCACGCGCGCCGCGTCCTCGCGGGGCGGCAGTGGCGGCAGCGGCGCGGCGGCGTCCCAGTCGCCGTGACCCCGGCCGCCCCGGCCCCGCGCCGGCGCCACCAGCAGCGCCACCAGCGCCGGCGCCAGCAGCGCGGCGACCAGAGCGCGCGCGGACCCTCCGGCTCGGCCCGTCATGCTCGTGACCCGGGAGCGAGTGCGCGGCGCCGCGACCCACCGGGTTCGAGGGTCAGTCGCGCCCTCCCGGCCCCGCCCACGGCGGTGACCACGAGTCACGCCCCCTCCGGGGGACCAATCGGAGTCCGGGGCGGCGGAGGACGAGGTCGACGTGAAGCCTCGCGCTCCAGGCCCCGCCCACGGCGGCGACCACGAGTCACGCCCCCTCCAGGGGACCAATCGGAGTCCGGCGCGGCGGAGGAGGCGGGCCCCTCCGTGAGCCTTGCAACCTGCGGCGGCCAGAGTTGTTTCTCCGCCTCCCCGGCCGCACTTTTTTTTCCTAAATATTTTATTTCTTGGTGTACTTGAGAGGGAGGGAGGGGGAGAGCGAGCGTGCGCGGGGGCGGGGGCGGGGGCGGGGCCGAGGAAGAAGCGCACCGCCCGCTCGGCGGGGATGCAGGGGACCGGCTGGGTCCCAGCGCCCCAAGACCAGCCCGAAATCGGACGCGGACCCGGCCGGTTCCTGGACCGCGGCACCGTCCGACGCGTGGAGTTTGCTTTGTTTGCGGACGGGGAAACGGAGGCCCAGAGAAGTCGCGAAACCCGCCCGTGTCGTCCTGCTGGGAAAAGACGCGCACAGGCCTCGGGAGACGCCGCCGGCCGTGCTGCCCGTCCGCTGGGCCTCGCCGTCCGCAGCGAAGAGCACCGGGATCCGGTGGGGGCGGACAGGAGCCCCAGAGTTTAGGACTCTTCAGGCTGCTCCCGGCCCCGCAGGCTCCTCCCCAGGCCCGAGGCTGCAGTCCACCCGCAGTGTCCCCCGCGCGGATCCGAGCTGACCGAGGCCGCTGGGGACCCGCTGAGTCGTCGGAGGGTCCGTGGTTGCTCAGGCTTCTCCGCTCTGCTGACCCTCTCGCGCGTGGGAATAGCACTTCTTTCCGCTCCGGCTAAGAAGCTTCGTGCCGGAGCCTTTGGGGCCCGGTTCCCTGCGCCCACAGGCGCTCCCGCCGCCGTGAGCAGGGCCACCTCCCCGCCCCGGACTGCTCTTCCCTGCGCCTTATTACGCATTACCGCAATGGGTCGACGAGCTCAGACCCGGACCCACGTGCTTTATGCTGTGAGCTTTGGTCACTCTCCTCGAAGTGACCCTCCTGTCCCTGGCTGCGCTCCGCAGCCCCACCTTAACTGTCACACACGATGAATTGTTTGTCAGCCTCCAAAATCCGGCTCTGGCGGTTACCTGGCCCTCCGCGGCTGAGTTCCATAGAGACGAGTCATTCCACTCGTGCCCTGGGCCAGTCATGTGAGCGGGTGTGGGCAGCAGGTGTGGGAGCCGAAGTCCTGCCGCTGATTTCTGTCTCAAACTCAGCTCGGTGGGAATTTGTGTGAAGAAAGAAGACGCTTTACTCTGAATAGGAGGTTTTCAGTCCCCTCTGGTAGCCAAAAAAGTGTGAACAACCCTTAATAACAGTGGGTTTCCTTTTTAACAACTGAATTTGGAAGAGCTTCAAGCTAGATGGAAAACTAAGGAGGGAGGAATTTAAGAGGAGGAAAATCAGGTTTGTAATTTTCAAAAGAAATCCGAGTAATCTGAGTAACTGCCTTAACCTGTTAAGGAAAGAGTGTACATAAATTCGCGCTTGGAATTCTAATCTCAGCCTTGCCACTGTCAAGCCATGGACCGTAGAACTTCCATTCGCCTTGTTGGGGTTCAGTTTTCTCAGCTGAAATGAGAAACTGGGTTGATATCTGACACCTCTGTGGGCTCTATAATCTATTAAGATGCAAAATATGGACCTTTTGTGAGTTTCCCAATGACCTTTTTGCAAGAGGACAAAAAATACACTTTTTGTTTATTGCTATGCCTCTACGCTGGGACACAAAATAACAATAGGCCCTAGTACAGCTCCGTGGCCAAACAGGTGCCTGAAGTTGGTCTCCCTGTGCTTGAGCTTGTGAGCTCTACAAACCCCCTAGCTTTAAGCACCTGTCCCCAGGGACTGTCTGCCTGTGACCCCCCTGCTCTACCTCAACTGGGGGCATGGCCACCCAGATCTCTAGTCAGATGCACTCCCCGTGATGCCTCCTTGAACACTTTATAAGATTTTATTTATTAGACAGAGATCACAAGTAGGCAGAGAGGCAGGCAGAGAGAGAGGAGGAAGCAGGCTCCCTGCTGAGCAGAGAGCCCGATGCGGGGCTCGATCCCAGGACCCTGGGATCATGACCTGAGCGGAAGGCAGAGGCTTAACCCACTGAGCCACCCTGG